GGAGGGGATTGGAACCATGGCAGTGAGATGATATAAGATGGAATGAATGCAAAACTAAAAGTTCTCCCATGTAAACTATCATATAATTCACAACAAAACATTAAAAAAAAATTATTTCAGTCAATTTATACCTATTGATAATTACACTAAATGTAAATGGATTAAATGTACCAGTCAAGAGACAGAATGAATAATAAAACAGGATCTTTCAGTATGGTGTATACAAGAGACACATCAAAAACTTGAAGACAGCCTAAATGCCCATCAACAGAAGAATAGTTAAACTTTGGAACATACACACTATGGAATACTAACCAACGTTGAAGAATAACGATGAATCCGTGTAATACCATACAATATGGATGAAACTGGAGGACATATGTTGAGCGAAATTAGTCAATCACAAAAGGATAAATATTGTATAAGACCACAGTTGTAAAAAATTCAGAAAAGGTTTTCTTGATAAAAGAAACAATCTTTAATGGTTAAGAGTGCAAAGGGGAGGGAAAATTCACAGGCTAGAGGGTAGACACATGTTAACATGGATGACATGACAGGCTGTATTTAAGAGGGAGGTTAGCAGAGGAAAGACGACGAAGAGAGAGACAAAGGGAGGAATTCATTGCTAAAGTGAATAGAAGTAAATGCTGCTAACTGGTGGTACATGGAGGGGATTTCAGTCATGGAATGCAGCAAAGTATATAATTGGTTGAATCTAAGACTGATGCTCTGCTCTATAAACCTTCACTTAATTCATAATAAAAAAATGTTTCAAAAATGGAAATGGGGATGGTTATGTGGTCCCGGAAGAGACAGCTTCAGTAAGAAAAACTTTTCTTTCTCCTTACCTTTATGTAGGATTTTATGATTTGTTGAGTATTTCCACATCCATCTTGTTTGATTCTCATTAAACCTTATAAGGTGATTGAGGCAGTCATTTAATTCCAGTTTTACATACAGAAAACTCTGAGATGATAAGTAATCTCTCCACGACCAAACAGAAAGTTAAGGACTAGAGAAAGGACTGATTTCCAGATCAAGGTACCTGATTTCAGCTTCCTTGTCCCCAAAGTATAGTTCATAGAGTATAGAGTTTTATGCATATTAAATATTCATTTGACTCATCTATACGTTTCTTCAATTGTGCTTTTGTTTCAGGGAATTGTGCACTAAACTGTATAGCATGAGCTGGGGCAATACACAAAGTTGGCAAGAGTTTGATCGCTTTTGTGAATATAATCCAGTGGAAGCATCCATGCTAACCTGTTTAGCAGATGTTCGGGAACCTTGCCAGTTGGGTTGTAGAAACCTTACGTACTGTACTAATTTTAATAACAGGTAGGAGCAAATTATTACATCTGGAATGGAAGTATTTTGTCATTATTTTAAAATAAGTGAAAATGCCAGTGTGCTCAGATTTTTTTCCTAATGAATTATAAAGAAGCAGTATTTCTTTATGATTTCATATTTAAATTCTATAATCCATTGGTAAATCAGCCCTGGTGGGAGAGAAAGCACTGCCACAAAGTTCTTTGTAATCTAGAGATACCTTGAGCTTCTCGTTGTTAAGTACTGTCGAGTCAGTTCTGACTCATTGGGTTTCCCAGGAGTAGCTGGTGGGTTAGAGCTGCTGACCTTGCTGTTAGCAGTCCTGTGCTTATCCTATAGTTCCAACTTCTCCTGCACCACCAGTGGCTAGAAATCATTGCAGAATAAGTCATTGTGAATTATTTAATCATCCAAATGTCCTCCTTCGTTCAGTTTACTTTGAAGGACCTCCAGACCAGACCACTAACTCTGTGGATCAAACCGACCTTGCAGACCAATGTTTTCTCCCATAGCGCCACACCAGGATAGGTCACATTTATCAGACTGCAGCCACAAAATTTGTACAATTTATTTTTGTAAATCAGACCTCAATTTTTAAAATGTGGACCCTTAATATTTACTTTGAGAAATGAAAGAAATGGAAAAGCCTGGAGATGATAGACCTAATTAGAGCATTTTGAAGTTTTAAACTGCCTCACAGAACTCTTGTTAAAAAGAAAACATGCTGTCAAGTTCTTTATGCTGGTATTTATACAGAATCTTCATCTAGCTCAAAGCTGATAGCCTTTGATGTGCTTTCTTCTCTAAGAAAATCTCATTCTCCAGAAATATTCATTTATCAGGATTTTACCCATTCCTTCTCTGTAAAAAATAATTGTTTCTTGATTCCTTCTGGCCTTTTTTTCTTTTTAGGCCAACAGAACTTTTCAGAAGTTGCAATGCTCAGTCAGATCAAGGAGCCATGAATGACATGAAGCTGTGGGAGAAAGGAAGCATAAAGATGCCATTTATAAACATTCCTGTTCTTGACATTAAAAAGTGCCAGCCAGAAATGTGGAAAGCAATAGCTTGTTCACTGCAGATTAAACCTTGTCATAGTAAATCCCGGGGAAGTATTATTTGCAAGTAAGTTTTTTTCATAATGATTCTCAGTTTGGGTTCAGACCCTCCATAACCTACTCACACCCCATCTTTGCCCACTTTCTTTTCCCATCTCCACATGCCAAATGTTTTTCTGCGTTTTCTCCTTTCCCTTGAAATGTCCTTCCTCCCGTTTCTACTGACCCTTGTCCTGCCTTTCCATATTGGCCCCTCCCAAATACCATTGACTCCTGTGGGATCTTTGAAGATTTCTCCAGCTGATAGAAACTCACCTTCCTACAGAACTCTCTATGTACCTATAGAACTTAGTTCAGGAAATATTTATTGCTCTTTTTCCTTATTTGTTCATTTCAGATGCTGGTACTAAACGTGTTGTGATTGAAAAAGAAATTTTACTTATTTCTAGGATGGGGGAGGGGACAACATATTTGCTTCTCATATCACTCTATTTGAAAATGTGCAATGTGAATGTTGTTCCTCAAAATAAAATGTTAACCTTCAATTAAAAATATATATATATATTTCTTGAGAAGCTTAGATGCACTGCTCATATTATTTTTATTGTTTAATTTGTGTACTTGTCTTATATTCTGAACTGTTGGATTTTGCTACCTTTGAAGAGCTTGTTTTTGTGGCTTTTTTTTTTTTAATGTTTTATTGTGAATTATATGATAGTTTACATGGGAGAACTTTAGCTTTGCATTCATTCCATCGTATAACATCTCACTGCCATGGTTCCAGTCCCCTCCATGCATCATCAACCACCCAAAGGGTGTATCCCAGAAACCTGCCCCCTACACTTCCCCCTCCTCCCCCCAGTTTTTGGCCCACAGTCCCTTTCCCTCTCTGGGTCCAAAGTCCCCAGTCGCTTCATCATTCCACGTCATCATCTCTGTCTCTATCTCAGGCATCTCTGTTTCTCTGGGTAGGGTCCCAGTCTCGGCTCTTCGTTGATGGTCCCAGAGGCCTCCGCTCCTATCCTGGAGAATTAATCACTCCCTTGTTTTTGTGGCTTTTTTGCTGTATCCTTCTTTTCCTTCTCCTAAGGAATTAACATATCCCTGACACACCATAGGTATTCCACAAATGTTAGGTGAATGGAATAGTGAATATAGTTTATTAGGACAGACCTATTCCTAGTGAACACTTCATGAGTATTGTTCTTAGAAGATGTAGAAAGTAAAGATGGGAGCTGCTGTGGTGGATGAAACCACAGCCATTAACTGCATAGTAATTTGTCAGCCTCTCTTGAAGAATCTTTTTTTTTTTCCAGAAAACTTTTCCAAAACGAAGTTAATATCCAGCCTCTAAATTGTTGTTGTGTGGCCCAATGCTGCTGGGTGACTGTTTCCACCTTAAACAGAGACCAGATCTCTTCTCTGACATGACTTGGGGATGAGCTGGGTAGGGGAGATTCTGAAGGCTAGCTGTTACGTGACAAGCAAGGAGAAACGTGCAGACTCCATTAGCGCAGGAAACATGCTAGGTTTTAGCTCTCTCCTGAAGATGGAACAGTTTTAAGTAGTAGACAATCCACTTGTTAATAAGGTGTCAGTCAGACACCTGAATGTTGATAACTAAAAGTTATTTTTAAAAGAGAGAAAACAAGCAGAGTCCTGAAAGTCAGATGTGTGATGTTGTAAAGATTTCCTTTCAAAGGAGATGTAAAAGCCACCCACATTGATGGCATTAACAGTATAACAAATAGCAAGGCCTTTGACCTCAGATAAGAGATTAGGGAGGAGGGGCTTTGATAATGTAACATATTATTACATAACCTTGAGGTCATTATGACTCCTCTTTTGCCCTACTTATACCTAACCATTTTGAAACATTGTAATGTTATGAAAACTTAATTTCTAGAAAGCTTTATAAGCAACATGAGCAAATTCCTTAAACCCTGAATTTCTCTGTATTTTCCTTTTCAAGATCAGATTGTATAGAAATTCTCAAGAAATGTGGAGACCAAAATGAATTCCCTGAAGACCACACAGCTGAAAGTATTTGTGAGCTTTTATCACCAACAGATGACCTGGAAAATTGTATACCTTTGGATACATATCTGAGTAAATATTTTTGTTGTTTTTTTAAGATTTCGAACACTTCTTCCTTCTATCTCTGCCCTTGAAGTTTGTTAGGATGAGCAACTATCTGTTGAAAACATGTGGTTGAATGATACTATCTCACTCTCAAACTCTTATTTGCTGGAATTGAGTGAAAGTTTACAGAGTAGTTTACAGTTTTATATTCAACACATCATACACTTTGTTTCATCTCAATGATTACAGTCCCCTCCAAGTAACCACAGTTATCCTACCTCCTCCCTGTGGTTTTTATTTCCATTTCACCCTCCTTCCCAACCCTTCTGAACTCTGCCCTTAGGTAACTGTTACCCTTTTGATACTGAATGGTTGACCATTTCATGCTGAGCATACCTTACTAGTGTTGTCCTCCCTATATACCTATCTACTGCTTGGCTGACAATTGGGCCATGAGGGTGTGTTCCATTCCAGACCTGAAGAGTGGCAAAGGGCCATAATCACAGGTTTCTCCAGCGTCTTTTTGACCAGTAAATCCTGTCCCTTTTACGATTTTGAGTTTTGTTCCATATTTTATTCCCTGTATCTGGGCCCTTCTAATGTGATTCCTTTCAGAGCAGTTGGTAGTGGTACCAGGCATCATCTAGTTCTTTTGATCTTAGAGTGGTTGGAGATTGATGTTCACATGTTCCGTTAGTCCACTGAACTAGTTGATTCCAAGCCTCTTCAGTTCTCTTCACTCTTTTCTCTTCCACACATGGAGAGACCAGTAGTTGCACCTTAGATGGCCTCTGATGAGCTTTCAGGATTCCAGTGGTTACTCAAGGTTACTTCATGTACTTTGGTTCCAGACAGTAAAAGGAATAGGGAGAACAAACAACTTCTTAATCTCCTTTGCAAGGAATACTAGGGAAAGTTAGGTCCATTGCCACTCTGAGTAAAATTGGGGCTCTATTAGTAAGGAAAGGACCTCTGGTAGCGTAGTGGTTACGAATCGGGCTGCGAACCACAAGGTCAGCAGTTCTAAACTACCAGCTGCTCCGCGGGAGAAAGATGAGGCTTTCTGCTCCTGTAAAGATTTACAGCCTCGGAAACCCTGTTCAGGGTCGCTATGGGTCAGAACCAACTTGATGGCACTTTACAACAACAACGTTAGTAAGGAGGGGACCTGGTATGGTACTATAGGATAAGCACTGGACTACTTAACCTCAAGGTCATTGTTCAAATCCACCAGCCACTCTATGGAAACCTTGTAAAAGGTCACTGAATCAGAATCGACTTGTCAGCACTTAACAGCAACAACAATTGGTAAGCAGGAAGAGAAGAATAAATGTTGAATTTGCAACTAGTAATATCTGCCACATTTTCTCAAGATCAATACACAATGTCCCTACCCTTTATAGTCAGAGTAGCAAAACAGAGAACCTTTGTGACTTTAAGCCAATCCACTTCACCTCTTTGAGCCACAGTTTCCTTATTTGTAGTTAGCCTGAGATTCTGAGTCTCACCTAAAATCAAGAAAGCAAATTTATTGCAGTCACAATCATAGTCTCTAGTAGAACGGCCAAGTATATGTGTAGAGTGAAACCAGCTTAATGGGAAGAAAACTGATGGAATGCTTTGTTTGAATTTCAGTGCTCTGTTTAAATATCACATATACTGTATTTTTCCACATTATGTGCCCATGTAAATAGTGCACACGCACACACAAAATACATGTAGTCCACACAGGAGACTGATATGTGAGAGGCTTACAGAAAACTTATAACACAGCTGTTATCCATATGAACATAAAGCAGTTTATATAAGTTGAGACTTTTCTTTGGTCATTATTATTTTACAAGCTAATATAATCAGAGAGTTCATCTTACCATGATAAACTATTTTCATTTCTAGTGAAATGTGCTAACTTATCCGTGTTAGACAACTAACTTTTTTTTTTTTTTGGCATGGGTTAATAGTTCTTGTTTGCTTTATTTTGTTTTTAAACTTTTTATTATGGATTAAGTGAAGGTTTACAAACAAGATCATTAGTTTTACATTCAACAGATCATATACTTTGCTTCATTTCATGGTTGCAGTCCCCTCCATTTACCAACAATTAACAACTTGACTTTATTGAATTCTTCCCTGTGTCTCCCACTACCTTCATCTTTCCTCTGCTAACCCCCCTCTTGTATATTGCCTGCCCTGTCACCTGTGTTAACATGTGTCTACCATCTAGCCCATGAATACTTTTCTCTCTCCCCACCCACCGCCATCATAGATTGTTTCTTATATCAAGAAAACTTTTTTAAACTTTTCACAACATTGATATCATATATAGTGTTTGTCCTTTTGTGATTGACTACTTTTCCTCAGCATAATGTCCTCCAGGCTCAACCATGTTATGAGGTGTTTCACATATTCGTCATTATTCTTCAATGTTTTGTAATATTCCATGTGTGTATTTATCAAAATTTGTTTAACCATTCTTTTGTTGATGGGCATTTAGGCGGTTTCCATCTTTTGGATATGTCTCTTGTAGACAGCATACTGAAGGATCTTGTTTTCGTATCCATTCTGCTTTCTTTGTCTCTTGACTGGTACAGTTACTCCATTAAATGCAGTGTTCATTAGCAGTAGTTACAAATTGATTGTTGTCATTTTTCTGTGTTTTTTGTGTGGTGCTGCTGGATTCTTTGTTCCATATAATTTTCTGTGCTGAGTTAATTTGTGAATTTTCTTGTTATTCTTATTTCTGTTATGTTAATGTTTACTAAATCTTTCTGATTTTCCTCTTTTTAAATTTTGATTTTACCCTGTAATTTATTAATTTTTTCCCAAGATAAAACAGTCTATTTTATCTTGAAGTCCACCTGACTTCCTTGCCATTTGTAAGTTCTGTATCTACACTATTCCTTCTTTTTGATTTGTAGTTGACTTAATTATACATTGATATCTCTGATTCCCTATTTTCAGTCTTGTAGGTTTGTTTTACTTGTGGCTCTGTAGGCTAAGCATTCAACCACAGGTCAGTTTGAACTGCAAGATCAGTGGTTCAAACTCATTGGTGCTCTTGGAAACCCTATACAGGGTTGCTATGAATTGGAACCAACTCAAGGACATGTAACAACAATAACAACATATCTGGATTACATTCTAGGTGGTATTATTTTATATGATAATCTCAGGTTGTTGTCTGCATGTTGTTGGTTCTCAATCCAAAGAATACCCTTTATCAATTTTTGTAAAGCTGGTCAGTACAAATTCCTTTAATTTCTGTTTATCAAGAAATGGATAATTTTGCCATCATATTTGAAAGACAGCTTTGCTGGGTATATGATTCTTGGTTGGCGATTTTTTCTTTCAGAGTTTTGTATATGTCATGCCATTGCCTTCTTTCTTGCCTGCTGGTTTCTGCTGGAAAAAAAAAAAAAAAAAACAACGAGATGAGTCTTATTGGCTCTCCTTTGTAGGTAACTTTTTATTTTTCCTGAACTGCTCTCAGGATTCTTTCCTTGTCTTTGATTTTGGAAAGTTTGATTATGATATGTCTTGGTGATTTTCTTTTGGGATTTATCCAGTTTGAGGTTTGTTCAGCTTCTTATATGCTTATCTTCTCTAAGGAAGTTTTCTTCCAACAATTCTTTGACAGTTTTTTCTGTGCTTTTTAATTGTCTCTTCCTGTTCTGGAATTCTGATCATCCATAAGCTTCTCCTCTTCATGGTGTTCCACATAATTCTTAGGTTTTCTTCAGATTTTTAAATTATATTATCTGATTGTTCTTCTAGTGTACTAGTATTGAGAGATTTATCTTCAAGCTCACTAATTTGGGTTTCTATTGCTTTGTATCTATACCTTGGCCCTTTCGATGTATTGTTCATTTATGAAATCTTAGTATTAATCATCTGTGTTTCTAATTGCAGGTTTTATGTTGTTTCAAACTTTGCATTTATGTTTGCTTTTGTAGTGTTTTCCTAAATTCTTCTAAAGTTTTCATTGTGTTCTCCTTACTTTCCTCAATCTTTCTATCAGTTCTTTGAAGGTACCTAATTAGCATTCTTTTTCAGTTAGTTCCATTACCTTCTCTTCTTCAGAAATTTTTTCTGGTTCTATGTCTTGGTCATTTGTCTGAGCCATTCTCTCTTGTTGTGTTGTCCCCAGGGCATTGTGGACTTGTCATATTTGTAAAAATAAACCATGCATTTGTTGGACCCTGAGGGGAGAAATCTCTGGTGGACTCCTGCAATTCAAGGAGCACATTAGGTGGTTGTGGAAGGGATATGACAGCAGAGTTCCTGTCCCTAAATGGAGTTCCTATTGTCCTCAGTGTTACCTATGTTCATGGCACTTAATATAGAAGTACTTGGTGGGATCCCTTGATGGAGCTGGTTTTAGTGCCCGTCAGGACCGCCGGGAATCTGAGGGCAGGGTGACTGGTTAAATGCTGGTTTGGTAACTGCAGGTTTTGTAGGTCTGAAATAGAGCCCACCTGAATCCAGACACCAAAGCAGCACACCAAAATTGTGCATTTGGCCCATACCTAATACTAGCATGACTCCCAACCACGTGGCTCTGAACTCCTGGAGAGCAAGGTCTGCACTGGGGGTGGACGAGGGTCAAAGCTGGCTACACCTCTGGTCACCACCTGCGCTAATCTGTTCTGCCAGGCTTCCCTCTGCCACCAAAACTGCTCACAAGATGGTGGACCCACATCTGGCCAGCCATTCACCAGTTAGTCTCCCTCTCTCATCATCCCTACTAGAGGCGTCTCCACCCAGCAAGCACTCCATCCACTTTCTGATGATGTTCAGGATGCCAGAATTTGTATCTGTGTCTGTTTTATTTGGTCTCTCATATCTTTGTTGTAATGGGTCCGTGTAGTGTGTCTGCCTAGTCCACCATCTTACTGGAAGTCCAACTTTTTTCTTCTTATGTTTATCATTATCTAACTTTGTAAATTGGCGTGTCTGTGTTTAATTTATTTCTCTACTAGAATATAAACTCCAGGTTAGGGGCTTATTTTGTTCACCATTGTATCACTAGTGTGTACATCCTTGCCTGGTATATGGTAGGTACTGAGTAAATAAACAGATGAGTGATGTTTGTTTATGCTAAGTTTATAATCTTACTGTTTCAATAGCTTACTCGAATCAGTCCTCACTCTTATGTTCATGAGCTCTCCATTTATTCCAACCATGATTCATTCAAAGAATTTACAGACCTCTGTTATTCTTTCAAAGGAGCTCTGGTAGCCTAGTGGTTATGAGTCAGGTTGCCAATTCAAGGTCGGCAGTTTGAAACTACCAGCGGTTCCGTGGGAGAAAGATGAGGCGTTCTGCTCCCATAAAGATTTACAGCCTCGAAAACCCTGTGTAGGATCACTATGAGTCAGAACCGACTCCACGGTAACAACAACAACATTATTCTTTCAGATTGGCTAAATTGATTTTTCCTTGGCTTTTCAGGACCAAGTACTTTAGGTAACATTGTAGAAGAGGTAACTCATCCCTGTAACCCAAACCCTTGCCCTGCAAATGAACTCTGTGAAGTAAACCGGAAAGAATGTCCATTTGGAGATCCCTGCCTTCCCTACTCTTGTGTTCAAGGTAAGAGGTAGGTGGGTGTGAGTTTGGGATAAGTATGGATAGGTGTTACTAGTGTTTATTTATAGGGATTCTCTTTGGAGTGAAGTTACAAGGGACTTTATACCTTGTGTTTTTCTGTAACATTTGAGGCTTTGTCAGTAAGCATGTATTTATATAAATAGAAAGGGGAAAAAAAAGAGAACTGTAATCTTCAATTACCATTTAGATTGTAAACTAAAAATATCGATCCAAAGCTTGACTCTCATCATGAGTTTTAGGATTCTTGACTCTAAAATAAAAGAGATCATTGGGCCAGTGTTTTCACTTTCTCTTCCGTGCTGTAATGTTCCAAGAAAATGCACCGCACATTGTTTATGTTTTTAGGGGGGCATGAAGGGGGAAGTTGGGTTTTTTGCTCTTTTTTTTCTTTTCTATAGTATATAGAAAATGATATACTCAACAGGATATATAAATATCTCCTTGAAGATTACTATTGTATTTAAATGTATATGATTTTAAAACGGAAAATCTTTATCCTATAGGCTTTTGATAGTCTTTATATCTCTGTAGACCCCTTTAGAATATAGTTGTGGTAATCTTTGGCTTTCTTTTATCAATTTCACAGTTGAAAATGTTTCTTTGTCATGTTAAAATCAACATCATCAAATATCTGTGAAGTAAAAAGGGACAAAAGGTTAAATAAGACGTGATGTCTCAAAGGATCATCTCTAGTATTTGTGTAATACCTAAATGTATCAGCTATGGAATCATAATAAATCATATTAAAACTAAAAATGTTTGAGTCTTTTAAATTCCAAGATAGTATTTTCTGTCCATTATGTTTGCATTATAATTTTGTTAATATTTTCCTTGGCAAAGAAAGCAAGATGTATTTACTTAAGTAGTGATGTCTGTATTTCATACTCTTTAAATGTGGAATTCAATTCAGAATTTTCTTGTTTTGTTAAACTAAGAAACCCCATCTTGTAACTAGATAGAAATGTTTAAAATATAAAATGGTTTTTTTCTTAACCCCACCCAAGTATCATTTTTCTTTTAATTTAAGGTATGCTTATATTCTATCAGTAAAAATTTCCTGACAAAGATTATTCTAAAAATACTGTCTGTCTTCCATTTAAAAGCCTTTGAGTCGCCCAAAGAAATAAACAGTTACATATCCGATAGCATTTTAGTGCTTAATAGCTAATTTTTGTGGTATAAGTCCTTAATCATTACCAGTCCACAGAACATAGAATTTTTATTTGAGAGGATTTGTTTTGGGGAAATGTAAAATCCTTAATTTAGTTACAAACTTTAAAATAGTCTTTAATCGCCACACAGTATCTAAAAGAACTATATTTAATATCACAAAACCATGTCACAAGCAAGATCATCTGTCTCAGCTAATTTTTGTTTGTACAGGTTGTAAATTGGGAGAAGCTTCTGATTTCATCGTCCGTCAAGGAGCACTTATCCAGGTGCCATCATCTGCAGAAGTTGGTTGTTATAAAATTTGTTCATGTGGGCCAAGTGGGCTCTTAGAGAACTGCATGGAGATGCACTGTGTAGATCTCCAGAAGTCTTGTATTGTTGGAGGAAAAAGAAAAAGTGAGTACTGAACCATGTCGTTGTTGTTGTTAGTACAAGCAAGTCTATTCCAACTCATCGTGACCTTTACAGGGTTTCCGAGGAGCAGCTGGTGGGTTTGAACCACCGATCTTGTAGTTTGCAGTCCAGTGCGGATCCTACAGCACCTCATCAGGAGTTTGCTATTGAACCATGTTGTTGTTATTGTTACGTGCTGTGGAGTCGATTCCGACTCATAGCAACACGGTACAGGGTTTCCGAGGCTGTAAATTTTTACGGGAGCAGAAAACTTTATCTTTCTCCCGGGGAACAGCTGGTAGTTTCAAACTGCTGACTTTGCGGTTCGCAGCCCGATTTGTAACCACTGCGCTACCAGAGCTCCTTATTGAACCATTGTTGTTGTTGTTAAGTGCCGTCGAGTCAATTCTGACCCATAGCGACCCTGTACAGGGTTTCCGAGGCTGTAAATCTTTACGGGAGCAGAACGCCTCATCTTTCTCCCACGGAACAGCTGGTAGTTTCGAACTGCTGACCTTGCGGTTCGCAGCCCAATTCGTAACCATTACGCTACCAGAGCTCCTATAGTCCTTATTTATTTTTGTTTTGTTTTAATATGAGATGTTATCTTAGCTTTGTAGGGAGAATATTGAATAAATTCTTCTCAGAGTGTAAGCTCTACAAATCAGTTATTTCAGGGCATTAATTTTCAAACTATACAGTGCTCTAGGACTTCCAAGGAACCTTCTTAAATGTCTCCTCAAGAAGAGACTAATAGCTAATGATAGTTAATTAATACTTATGGAACTCTAACCATATGGCAAGCACTTAACTGAGTCCTTGCCTAGATTATCTCATTTATTCCTCCAGTTACCTTTTGATATAGGTAATGATCATCCCTACTTCACAGACAAGGAAGCTGATACTTCAAGAGATCAACCAGTCAGTAATTAACCAAAATGGGGTCCAGTCCCGGCCTATTTAACTCCAGTGCCCATGCTCTTTACAGGCAAAACTACAAGTATTCATCTCTCCACCCTTCCCCTATCCATGCCCCATCACTACCACACACACACAGGCTCAGAATGATATTATGGTGAGTGACCCAGAGGATGGGAACCAGACTGTTGGTTAGGAGTTGAAAGTGAGCCCATTAAAACATGTCACCCTTTGATCTTCTCTAAAACTGTTGGGGTCTTGATTCCCACTTGATTCTTTAACCATCTTTTATTTATAGCTTTACCAACTATACTCATACAGCACCCCAACCTCACTAGAGTAGTTTAGCTTTTATATGTGTTTACCCTCTGTGTGTGGTCTCACTAGAAAGAAGAGGATTTAGGGCTAAAAAGAGTGCAAACTTTTTTGCCATAAAATAAGTCAAGTATTTGTTTCTTAGTATACTTTCTACTTTTGGAGGTAAAGTACTCGGTATCAGAAACTATCTGAGGATAAGCAAGTCCAGCCCTTCTATAAACTTGCACTGACTGAAGGTCGAGTCTGTACAGAATGACATGCTAGTCTAGTACCTTGTGGAGCTGAAACAGATTGGGGTCAGGCTTCACATGCTGGGAAAGAATGTGAGCCACAAAAATCAGCAGGCTAATGCTGTTGCTGCTAGGGCATCAGGAGAGTCTTTGAGAGCCTCAAACATGGCATTAGGACTGGAGAGGTGAATGAGATTCCAGGCAAAGGGGCAGGCCAAAACATTCTTAGAGGATAGGGAGCAGTCTAGTGATAGAAGCACATTAAAGATTTGGAGGGATATGATGGGAGGTAAGCATGAAACTATAAAGATTACAGATTTAACTCCCTAAATTGTATATTCAAAAATAATCTTTCAAAGTTTTCCACTTTAAAGTTTTCAAACTTAATTTTTTTCATTTATGCTCATTTCTAAACAATGGCAGGTGGTGTGTGCCATGGAGTTGGTCCCAACTCACAGCAACCCTATATAGGGTTTGTGAGGCTGTAAATCTGTACGGGAGCAGAAAGCCTCATCTTTTCCCTATGAAATGACTGGTAGATTCAAACTGCTGACCTTGAGGTTTGCAGCCCAGTTCGTAACCACTACACTACCAGAGGTCCTTTCTAAATAGAGATCACCATCTTCTTTCTCTTTCTCTTAGATCATGGAACATCCTTTTATATTGACTGCAATGTCTGTTCTTGTTTTGCTGGACATTTGGTGTGTTCTACCCGCCTCTGCCTCAGTGAGCATGGTTCAGAAGATGAGCATCGCAGCTTCACAGGTAACCCTGGTTGCCCAGAGTCTGTCCGCAGTGGGCCTTCATCCCATTGGACCCATTTTCTCCTTGTAGGCAGTTTCTCTGGGTGTGCCTAACCAATGAGACTGGCTCTAGTCCTCAAACATGGGTCTAACTACAAATATACACAATAAAATATAGACTCTTAAGAGTAAGATAGTTTTTCTCTCTGAATCTGTTTCCTAATCTATGAATTGAAGACATTGAGCTAAATTGTTTTTTAGGGACTGCCAGCAGTACTATTCTAGAATTCCATGAATCCGAAAGAACAGGGAGAGTGATTAGAATGGTTTTAGTTAAATGAAACATTTTTTACCAAGTAAACTACCTTGTTTATTCCTACTACTTACTTGGTTCAGAATGTCCATGTATTTTCTAGGTCAAGTCTGTTCTAATGCTTTCCTCCTTAGAGAAGCCAGAGAAGGATGTAAGGTGAAGAATGAGCTGAAGATTACAGAGACGACATTTACTTTTTAATTTATTTATATCTAAATATTTTAGAAGGTAAACTTTGTAACTAGCAGCACTCTTTTTTATCTATAGGGTGTGTCCCCTAGTGTCCTGGGATCAATTAACTAAACTACTGTTTAGCTAGCATACTGGCCACAAAGTGTACCACATTTCTTGTAATTCAAGTATGACTCAGAGAGACATTCATAAAATTCGTAAGTCTCAAAATTACAATAATTTCCAAGTTATCTTCTGATTATTTTCCCTCCCTAAGGATGTTAACCTCACACATCTGTCTGTCATACTGTGGTGGCTTGTGTGTTGTTGTGATGCTGAAAACTATGCCACTGGTATTTCAAATACCAGCAGGGTCACCCATGGTGGAGAGATTTCAGTGGAGCTTCCAGACTAAGATAGAGTAGGAAGAAGGAATAAGCAGTTCACTTCTGAGAGATTAGCCTTTTGAAAGCCTTATGAATAGCAGTGAAACATTGTCTGATATAGTGCCAGAAGATGAGCCCCTCGTGTTGGAAGGTACTCAAAATACTCAAAAGATTGATATCCTAGGCATTAGTGAGCTGAAATGGACAGGTATTGGCCATTTTAAGTAGGATAATCATGTGGTTTACTATGCCAGGAATTGCATCTCAGTCTTTCTCAAACAGAAGATTTCAATATTTATCTTGGAATACAGTGCTGTCTATAACAGGATAATGTATTTATATGTCTACAAGGAAGACCAGTTAATACAACTATTTTTCAACTTTACATACCAACCATCAAATTGTTGTTGTTGTTAGGTGCCATTAAGTCAGTACCGATAGCGACCCTATGCACAGCAGAACGAAACCTGGGCCAAGCTTGAATCCATCGATGCTGCCACTTGGCCAATCCATCTCATTGGGGGTCTTCCTCTTTTCCTCTGACCCTCCACCTTACCAAACATGATATCCTTCTCCAGCCACTGGTCCCTCCTGACAATATGTCTGAAGTATGAGAGGTGAAGTTTGGCCATCCTGGCTTCCAAGGGCAGAGATGTCAACCATCAGATTAGTGATGAAGAAATTGAAGAATTCTGCCAACATCTGAAGTCTTATATTGTTAGATGATTTTCACATTCTGTTGGGTCATTAATATCACACACAAGTAAGATTTTGCTGAAGATAATTTTTTAATTGTTTCAACAGCACATCAACAGGAAACTGCCAAAAATTCAAACTGGATTCAGAAAAGACATGAAACAAGGGATATCATTGCTGACATTAGGTGGATCTTAGCTGAAAGCAGAGAATACCAGAAAGATGTTTATTTGTGTTTTATTGATGAAGCAAAGGCATTCAATTGTGTGGATTTTAACAAACTCTGGATAACATTACAAAGAATGGATATTCCAGAACATTCAATTGTGCTCATGAGGAACCTGTACTAAAAGGCAGTCATTAGAACAGAACAAGGGGATACTAAATTGTTTAAAATCAGGAAAGTTGGATGCTAGGGTTGTATTCTTTCACCATACTTATTCAGTCTATATGATGAACAAATAATCTGAAAAGCTGGATTATATGAAGAAGAACATGACATCAGAATTGGAGGAAGACTCATTAACAACTTGAGATATGCAGATAACACAATCTTGCTTGCTGAAAGCGAAGAAGACGTGAAGCATTTGCTGATGACAATCAAAGAATACAGCCTTCAATATTAATTACAACCCAGTGTAAAGAAAATGAAAATCATCACACCAGACCAATAAGCATCATGATAAATGGGGAAAATGTTGAAGTTGTCAAGTATTTCACTTTACTTGGATCCAAAATCAATGACTATGGAAACAGCAGTCAAGAAATCAAATGATGTATTGCATTGGGAAAATGTGCTGCACAAGAACTCTTTAAAGTGTTAAAGAGCAAAGATTTCACTTTAAGGAATAAGGTGTACCTGACCCAAGCCGTGGTATTTTCAGTCACTTCACACACATGTGGAAGTTGGACAGTGACAAAGGAGACCAGAGAAGAATTGATACATTTGGATTGTGGTATTGACAAAGAATATAGACAGCACCATGGACTGCCAGAAGAACAAACAAAAGTGTCTTGGAAGAAGTACAGGCTGAATGCTCCTTAGAAGTAAGGATGGTGAGTCTTTGTCTCACATACTTTGGACATGTTATCAGGAGGACCAGTCTCTGAAAAAGGACATCATGCTTGGTTAAGTGAAGAAGAGGAAGACGCCCCAGAAAACATGGATTCGCCCTGCAACAGTGGTGACGGAGTGACTGCAACGGTGGGTTCAAGCATAGGACTGGGAAGATGATGCAGGATTGGGCAGGGCTTCATTCGGTTGTGCTTAGGGTCACTGTGAGTCGAAACCAACTCGATGACACCTGACAATACGGAGATTAGAAAGAGTTCTAGTGGCACAGTGAGTTAAGCATTAGGCTGCTAAGCACAAGGTCAGTGGCTCGAACCCACCAGCAACTCTGCAGGAGAAAGAGAAGGCTGCCTGCTCCCATAAAACTGAACAGCCTCTGAAACCCTCCTGGGCAGTTCTGCTCTGTCCTACAGGGTCACTAGGAGTCAGAACCTACTTGACAGTGGATTTGATGTTTTGGTTAGATTAGAGTGGAAGGAATTTATGTGAGGATCTTACAACCTTCAAGGTCTGTCTTGGTTTTGGTTTTGAATTTCAGAAATTCCCTAAGCCAAAGCACAAAAATCTAAATGATAAATTTTATATACCAGTTTTACTAAAGGTAATACAGAGATGGCTGCAAGCATACACTGACAGAGAACTTCCAGAGGTTCAAGCCAAATTCAGAAGAGGGCGTGGAACGAGGGATTATCATTGCTGATGTCTGATGGATCTTGGCTGAAAGCAGAGAATATCAGAAAGATGTTTACCTGTGCTTTATTGACTACGCAGAAGCTTTCGATTGTGTGGATCATAACAAGCTATGGACAACATTGCAAAGTATGAGTATTCTAGAACACTTAATTGTGCTCATGAGGAATCTGTACATGGACCAAGAGGCAGTTGTTCAAACAGAACATGGGAACACTGAATGGTGTAAAATTAAGAAAGGTGTGCGACAAGGTTGTATTCTTTCACCATACTTATTCAACCTGTATGCTGAACAAATAATCTGAGAAGCTGGGTTCTATGAAGAAAAACATGGCATCAGGATTGGAGGAAGACTCAGTAACAACCTGTGATATGCAGATGATACAACCTTGCTTGCTGAAAGTGAAGAGGACTTAAAATACTTACTGATGAAGATCAAAGACCACAGCCTTCGGTATGGATTGCATATCAATGTAAAGAAAACAAAAATATTCACCACTGGACCAATAAACATTCTTATCAATGGAGAAAAGATTGAAGTTGTCAAGGACTTCATTCTTCTTGGATCAACTATCAACATTCATGGAAGCTGCAGTCAAGAAATCAGACAACGTTTTGCATTGGGCAAATCTGCTACAGAAGACCTTTTTAAAGTGTTGAAGAGCAAAGATGTCAGCTTTAGGACTAAGGTGCACCTGACCCAAGCCATGATATTTTCGATAACCTCATATGCATGTGAAAGTTGGACAGTGAATAAGGAAGGCTGTAGAAGAATTGATGCTTTTGAGTTGTGGTGTTGGAGAGGAGAATATTGAAAGTGCCACGGGCTGCCAAACGAACAAATAGATCTGTGTTGGAAGAAGTGCAGCCAGAGTGCTCCTTGGAGGCCAGGATGGCCAAACTTTGTCTCTCACACTTCGGACATATTGTCAGGAGAGACCAGTCACTGGAGAAGGATATCATGTTTGGTAAAGTGGAGGATCAGAGTAAAAGAGGAAGACCCCCAGCGAGATGAATAGACAAAGTGGCAGCATGAATGGGCTCAAGCGTGGCAACAATTGTGAGGTTGACCCAGGGTCGGGCAGTGTTTTGTTCTGTTGTGCATAGTGTAGCTATGAGTCGGTACTGACTCGATGGTATCTAACAACAATATACTAGATTAAGAAAACAATCTACCTTTTCTACCCTTGTTTACAGGGGTGTGTAACTGGCAATAAAACCTGAAGCCCCTCAATCAGCTGGCAACGAATAGAACAAAGGAAAGTTGTTAACATGGACATTATGGCTTTTCATTATTTTGCTGCCTTTAAAAATCCTGTTAGAGGGTGGAGGGAAGGTTAAATTCTACTTTAAACGCAGACTTACCTATGACATATGTTGAGAAGGAAACAGGCGGAAAGGGGAATGGACAAGTATGTGTAGTACATATTGCTTAGGATGTTTCATCTTTTCAGGTCTGCCTTGTAACTGTGCCGATCAGTTTGTCCCTGTGTGTGGGCAGAACGGGCGCACTTACCCGAGTGCTTGTATTGCTCGTTGTGTGGGTCTCCAAGACCATCAGTTTGAGTTTGGATCCTGCATCTCGAAGGATCCATGTAATCCTAATCCTTGTCAAAAAAGCCAAAGGTAAGTAAATCAAATGGCTCCTTATCTTTTTCAGGCCAAGCCCCGCACTTATAAATCTCTCCTATGTACCTACCAGGCAGTGGAATACAGAACTGAGTAAGAAGTGCTCTCGGCCCTGAGGAACTTGAAAGCTAGAGGAAAATAGATCTGGGTAAGGCTCTTGATGGAGTCCCACTGTGGCGCTGTGGGTTAATGCGCCGGACTGCAAAGTCGTTTGAACTACAAGGTTGGCAGTTCAAGCTCAGCAGCCGCTCCTCGGAAACCCTATACAGGGCCCCTGTGGGTCTGAATCCACTGAACAGCACTTAACAACAAGGCTCTTGATATCAGGCTAGGATTCGCAGCCCAGACGTGGAGTGGTTAGTGCGGTCTGGGGAGGCACCTGGGAAAGCCCCCAGAGGATTTTATACACCGTGAGTTGAGCAAGCTGAACAGGAGGCTGCTGGTGATTACTTGTAGTGGAGGGAAGGTGGTGTTGCTGAAAGTAGAGTAGCAGGATCAAAAGTCTTGATTACTAGAAATGAGAGAACATGGTGTATGCTGGGAGTTGTCACAGTTCTGTAAGGCTAGGACAGAAAGTGTGAGGCAACTAGAGGCACCAGATGAGACAAGAAATAGGTGTATTCATGTTGTTGTTGTGACGTGCTGTTGAGTCGGTTCCAACTCATAGCAACCCTGTATAGAGTTCCCAAGGAGCAATTGATAAGTTTGAACCATTGACCTTGCAGTTCAGACAAGCCTTGTGGTCAAGTGCTTATCCTCTGGTACCGCACCAGGACTTCATAGTCATACTGTTGTTGTTGCTAAATACCGTGGAGTCAGTTGTGACTCATAGCGACCCTGTACAGGGTTTCCGAGGCTATAAATCTTTATGGGAGCAGAAAGCCTCATCTGTCTCCCATGGAACAGCTGGTAGTTTCGAACTGCTGACCTTGCGGTTGGCAGCCCGACTCTTAACCACTAAGCTACTAGAGTTCCTTCATATTCATACTGATTGGTTGGTTATGTGCCGTAGAGTCGGTTCCGACTCATAGTGAACCTGTACAGGGTTTCTGAGGCTATAAATCTTTACAGGAGCAGAAAGTCTCATCTTTCTCCTGCGGAACAGCGAGTAGTTTCAAAGTGCTGACTTTCAATAGCAGCCCAATTCATAACCACTATGCTCCCAGAACTCCTTCCATATTCATACCACGTAAAGAGTCATGGTGGCACAGTGATTAAGCGCTTCCTGATAACGGAAAGGTTAGCAATTCAGTCTCATTAGGGGCAGTCCTGGTGTGGCACTGTAGGATTAGCACTGGACAGCTAACCACAAGGTCGGCGGTTCAAACCAACCAGCCACCCCTCAGTAGCCCTATACGAGATGGCTATGAGTTGGAACCAACGCCATGGTACTTAGCAACAATTGTAGGGGGAAATTTTCTTCTACTTACATACCATCATTTTAGAGATTGGATATGAGAAATTTCTGGAAATGCTGCATCAATATTACTTGAAATTACTTGTTCTTGGGATCCTTTCTCTGCAGCTTCGGCACTGAACTCAGAGTATGGTTGGTCTGGCCCTAAGGGTGGCTTTCCGTACATGGTGGCCACCAGGGCAAGGATCCTACTGCAGCCTTTAGACTGGGCTTTTCCGTTAGAACAGGGGGGTCTGCTTCCTCAAAGACCTAAGAGGAAGAGTCCCTGATACCACAGCCCATGGCACCAAAGTCCCTCATCAACAGTTGCCTCTCTGTCATAAAAACTCTTAGCATAGTTTGGAGGGAGGGAAACATTTTATTGTGAGTTAAAAGAAAATGGCAAGGAGACTTGGCTGCCCATCTGGCAAAGTTTATACCATAAAAACTAAGCCCAGAAAGTTTCTTTGGAAGGCAGACTGGTACTGTGTATAAGAAAAGAAAGCCTAAAGAATAAGCCAAAAGAATTACATCAGTCATATTGGGAAGTAGAAATGAGGGTTGTCTTGATTTGTTTGTTTGTTCATTTGTCTGTTTTATTTTCTCCATTTTCATAGCCTTTCTAAATAAAGTTATGGTTTTTGTTTTTGTAATAAAAACAAAAAAGAGTCCCGATGAACCACAGCCTTCTATAACATGAGACCAAAAGAATTAAATGGTACCCAGCTACCAATACTGACCATTCTGACCAGGAACACACTGGAAGTTTCTGGATAGAATAGAAGGAAAATGTAGAAAATGCGAATTCTAAGGCCAGACTTCCTAGACTAATAGAAACCAGAGGAACCCCTGATGCAATTTTATTTAAGATAACCTTTGGACATGGATTTGAAGCTATTTCAGTAGATCACCTTTCAACCAAATAATAGAATGGCTTCTAAAATAGACAGTATCACCCATGAGTAATGTGCTCCTTTAAGCAATTGACCACCCAACATTTACCCAAAAGTAAAGATGAGAAGGCAAGAAGGAGGGAAGCTAGCTCAATGGAAACCAAATAAACAGACAGGAAATAAAAAGAATATTGACACTTCATAAAAATTGTAACAAGTGGCATGGAAACACTTTATAAAAAATTATTAAAGGGGAACCTAATTTGTATGTAAACTTTCACCTAAGACACAATAAATTTTTTTAAAAACTATAAACAGATCTCAACGTGGGAAAGGCTATTTTTGGTACAACACAAAACTAATATAAAAGAAAAGATTAAAAAATTCAGCTACATGAAAATCAAATTTTTTTGCATAATAGCAGATGACAAACTAGGAAGAATATTTGCATCACATATCACAAAGCAATAAGAAAAGCAGTAAGAAAAAAAGATCAATAACCTACAGAAAAACAAATGGTTCTTAACCACTTAAAACATCTTTTCAGATGCTACTGTATTACCACTCCCACCCCCATAAAAGCAAACATGTTACCTGCAAGTCCATTATGACCCGTGGCAATACCATGTGTTACGAAGTACAACTGCTCCATAGCGTTTTCCTGGCCATAATTTTTACAAAAACGGATCACCTGGCTTTTCTCCCACTGAGCTCCTTTGTTATGTTGTTAAGTGCCATCAAGTCGGTTCTGATTCATTGCAATCCTGTGTACAATCCTATGTACGACAGAAGGAGATAGCGCTACCCGGTCCTGCACCATCTTCACCATTGCTGGTACCACTGTGCTAATCCATGTCATTGTGGGTCGTCCGCTTCTTCGCTGACCCTCCGCTCTACCAAGCATGATGACCTTCTCCAGAGACTGAGCCCTCCTGATAATATGTCCAAAGTAGAAGAGATATGGCCACCTTGGCCTCTAAGGAGCATTCTGGTTGTACTTCATCCAACACAGATGTTTGTTCTTCTAGCAGTCCATGGTACCTTAAATATACCACCATAACTCAAATACATCAATTCTTCCTTATTCATTGTTCTACTTCTACATGCATATGAGGCTATTGAAAATACCATGGCTTGGGTCAGGTGCACCTTAGTCCTCACACTGCTGTCTTTGCTCTTGAACAACTTGAAAGAGGTCTTGTGCAGCAGATTGGCCTCGTAGAAGAGCTACTAGGTAGATTCAAATCGCCAGTCATTAAGTTAACAGCCAATCACAGATTGTTTGCACCATCAGTACTTTATTTAACTCCATTTAAAAAAAAAACAAAAACAAAAAAACGCACTGCCGATTATTATGAGTCGATTCTGACTCATAAAGTCTCTGTATAGGGTTTCCGAAGCTATAAATCTTTATGGGAACAGAAAGCTTCATCTTTCCCCTGGGGAGCAGCTAGTGGATTTGAACTTAAAACCTTGCATTTCACAGTCCATTGGTTATCCTTCAGTGCCACCTGGGTTCCTTTTAACATCATGCTGTTAGACGCCTTTGAGTGGGTTCCAACTCATAGCAATCCTATGTAGGACTTCTAAGGAGTGGCTGGTGGGTTTGAACCACCAAACTTGGGGTTAGCAGTCCAGTGTTTGTCCTACAGTGCCACACGAGGACTCCTCTAACATCTTCGAAGTTCACATAATGCTTTGCACATAGTGACTCAGAGATTCCGGGTCCTCCCGTACCATGGTTCTGCCACATCCTACAGCTTCACAGTCCTCCTCTATGTCTTCTGCATCCCCCAGAAGGGAGATAATAGAGATCACTCTTGGAAGGCTTATAAGTCAGGTCCAGACATGACAAATGGTACGACTTCTAGCCACAGTCCACTGACTAAAACGAAATCACTTGGCCACAATTGAAGGCTACAGAAGCTCAGAAATATAATCTAGATGTATTCTTATTAAGAAAATGAAATCATTTATTGAGGTTCTAGTCTCTGCCGCAGTGTGTAGTCTTCTCCCTTAAGAAAAATGGAAGCTAACTGAAACCCTCAATTGCATACCATTTTCATCTACCAGATTGGTAAAGATACAAAAGATTTTTTTAAAAAGGTTTAATAAAGATAAAATTATTATAGAGAAACAAATACTCTCATATAAGAGAGGGTTAGGTGGAGGATTGATACAGCCTCTATGAAGGTCAATTTGGCCAAATCTAACAAAATTTTAAGTGCACTGCGCTTTGAATCAGCATTTCCACCTCAGGAATTTATAAATGAACTTGTGTATAAAAAGACACTCTTATAAGAACAAATGATAAGAACCAACCAGTATCTGTTCATGGGCACTGGTTAAGGAACTAAAGGTAACATACCGTGGACCAATAGGCAGCACGAAACCATAACGGAGCAGGAAATTCTCTCCATAAAAGCAACAGGAACAGTGGCAAAAAGGTCCGAATCCACTTTTTCAGAATTAGAAATCAGTGAAAAGCTTGCAGCAATTTGGTGAACATTTATCCAATGAAAGTCCCAGAACTGTGAGCATTGTGGTGTTTTAACCTGCCCTAGTCCCCACCCCCAATCCTATTGCACTGTAGACGCGAAAACACGCAAATCATGGTTGAAAAAAAAAAAACAGCAGTCACCAGCAAGGATCCCTGGTGGCGCTGTGGGATAAGCATTCTGCTGTTACCACAAGGTCAGTGGTTCAAACCCACCAGAAGATGAGGCTATCTGCTTCCTTAAAAGGTTTGCAGTTTCACGGTCTCAAAAAACCCTAAGGAGTAGTTCTACTCTGCCCTGTAGGATAACTGTGAGTCAGTCAAATGTATGGCAGTGGGTGGCAGCGACCAGCAGAGGGCAGAATAGGACTGGAGTTCTTTCAAAGCCTCATCTCCAGAGAATTGAATTATAGATTTGTCTGGTGGTTCTTTGGAATGACACAATTGTCCTTTTAGGCAGAGAAGGGAAAAAACTTTTAACAAAACCCAGCACCCCTTCATGATGAAAATACTCAAAAAAAGCACAATAGAAAGGAAATTTCCTCAACCTAATAAAAACCAACAATGTGTAAGCAGCTCTGGTAGTGTAGTGGTTATGAGTTGGGCTGCTAACTTCAAGGTCGGCAGTTTGAAACTACCAATCATTCCACGGAAGAAATATGAGACTTTCTGCTTCCGTAAAAGTTTACAGCCTCAGAAACCCTGTGCAGGGTCACTGTAAGTCAGAACTGACTTCACAGTACTTAACAACAACAACAATGTGGCAATGTGGGATAATACAGTGAACCACAAAGTTGGTCAGTGGTTCAAATTCATCAGCCACTTCTCGGAAACCCCTATACAGGTTGCTATGAGTCGGAACTAACTCAATGGCACTTAATAACAACAACAATGAAAAACCCAAAGCTAATATACAAAGAGTCCTGGTGTGGCGCTGTGGGTTAATGCACCAGAGTGCAAAGCCGTTTGAACTGCAAGGTCGGCAATTCAAGCTCACCAGCTGCTCCTCAGAAACCCTATACAGGGTCGCAAAGTTGAAAGCTTTCTTCTGAATTCTTCAGGACATAGCCTTCTCTCAAAACAGGCTCACATTAACCAAGCTCAAAATGAACCAGTTCAGGTGTTCATGGCAACCCCATGTGTGTCCGAGTAGAACTAGTCACCTTAGACTGAATTTTTCAATGGCTGATTAATTTTTTTAGGGAAGTAGATTACCAGACCTTTCTTCTGAAGTACTTCTGGGTAGATTTTGATTAGCAACCAAGAGCATTAACCATTTGCACCCAAGGACTCCAACAGAAAATTATTGTTGGGTACCATCAATTGGATTTCCATTTCAACTCATAGCAGCCCCATATGATAGAGTAAAAGGGCCCTATAGTTGGAAGAGAATATTGAAAGTGCCATGGGCTGCCCATAGAACCAACAGATCTGTGTTAGAAGAAGTGCAGCCAGAGTGCTCCTTGGAGGCCAAGACGGCCAGACTTCGTCTCTCATACTTCGGACATATTGTCAGGAGGGACCAATCACTGGAGAAGGATATCATGTTTGGTAAGATGGAGGGTCAGAGAAAAAGAGGAAGACCCCCAACGAGATGGATTGGCCAAGTGGCAGCATCGATAGATTCAAGCGTGGCAACAGCAGTGAGGTTGGCCCAGGATCGGGCCTTGTTTCATTCTGCTGTGCATTAGGTCACTGTGAGTCGGCACCAACTCGCTGGCTCCTAACAACAACAACAACAACAACAACCACACAGCGTTCCTTTGGCTGCAGATTGTACGGAAGCAGACTGCCAGGTCTTTCTCCTGTTGAGCCACTGGGTTTGTTCAAACTGCCAACATTTTAGTCAGCAGCCGAGCACTTAACTGTTTGTACCACCAGGACTTCAAGCAGAAAAATAACTACCTGAAAATGTTTCATGAATTATTGACTGCAAGCCCTCCACTGGAACCCACCCACCTGTCTGACTTCATCTCCTGCCACTTCTACACCTGGCATCCTTCGCTCCTGCCTCAGGGTTGCTTGCACCACACTTTTGCTCCTACTGCATCCTCTTCCTGCCAGACCTGCGCGGCCCTCCTTACCCTCCGGGTTTCAGCTGGAGCACCACTTCTTCATACTTTCCCCAGCTCACCAAGCAGAATGACTGACTGCTATGTCATTTCTGTGTGTCATTTTCTACCTGGCAGCCTATTTTTTACGTGTGCTTGACTGGCCCGCTCTTATGAGGTCCCTCACTTGCTTTCTCCCCAACCTCCAGTGCCTAGCCCAGTCCTTAGCTGGCCTGCCCACAGCCCCTCCCTGCATTGGCTAATGGAGCTGCATCCATGTTTTTCAGATGCATACCAAAACCCCAAGTCTGCCTGACAACTTTTGATAAATTTGGATGTAGCCAGTATGAATGTGTGGCACGGCAGCTCAACTGTGACCAGGCCCGTGATCCGGTTTGTGATACAGACCACATGGAGCACAACAATCTCTGCACTTTATACCAAAGAGGAAAAACCCTCTCTTACAAAGGCCTGTGCCAGGTACAGTAGTAGTTTGATGAACCAAAGTCCACTAAGCATAAGATTATTTATGATCTTTTACAGATGAATCAACAGTGAGCTCTCTTAGGAGTCTTCTGTTAATCTCAAGTGTGGAGAGCTCCCTCCTCCACTAAAAATGAACCATACCCAAGAGTGACTTTGTCTCCTAAGTCTGAAGAGCTATCTTGCTACTGTGTGCAAGAGAATGGCTTCTCACAGCCCATTCATAAGAAAAGAGTTTGAAGTTTCATATCCATGGCTTGTATCAGCATCATTTTCATTTCCCCTAGTTCTGTGGGTATTGTTTTTGTTGTTAGGTGTCAAAGTATAAGAGACAATGTCTTGCCATCAAGTCGGTTCCAATTCATAGCGACCCTGACAAAACCTCCATATCTGCATGACGAGTGATCTTATTTTCTTGCAACATACACATCTGGAATACTAATAGACATCTGGTGGGAGGGGTGGCTTTTCATCTCATGTAAGTTCACATGAATCAAGCACCCAAGTTTTAGAGAAGCTGAAAATGTAATCTCTTCAACTCATCTTGGGATGTCCTTACTATATTCATTCTGGTCATCTCAGGAACTGAATGTCTGCCTCTGTCCTTGTTCTTTATGAAAATAGGGATGGCTGCTCTGTGCTCTTGATTAGGAAATGTACATCATCGAAGTTTCCAGCTCAATGTGCTTTGTGTGCTCCAGTCTTTCTGCAGAACTACAGAGCCTGTGTGTGGGCACAATGGTGAAACCTACAGTAGCATGTGTGCTGCCTACTCGGACCGGGTGGCCATCGACTACTACGGACGCTGCCAGGCCGTCGGGGTCCTCTCAGAGCACAGTTCTGTTGCCGAGTGTGCTGCCGTGAAGTGCCTGCCACTTTCAGGGACCGGATGCAAGCCCATCATCCCTCCTGGTAGGCTGATAGATGGCGTTATTCAGGGCTGAACTCAAAAAAGCTACGGGTCCTCTTAGACATATCGGGTCCAGTGGTATTAAAACAACATGGCAAACTTTTTTCAAATAAAATCTTATACTAAAGCACCAATCTGTAAACAGATAAAGCCGTATTTAAGAACAAGTAGTATGGTTCAGAGCTCAGATACATAGATTTACTTATTATAAAGTTAATGAATAATGAATTAACAACTATTGTTGTTAATTGCCTCCGAGTCCAGTGCTGACTCACAGTGACCTTGTACAGGGTTTCCAAGGAGCAACTGGTGGGTTTGAACTGCTAGCCTTGCAGTTAGCGGTCCAGAGTTTATCCTACAGCACTACTCCAGGAATCTGAATGGATGAATAATTGAAACATTGTTGATGAACACAAATGTTTAAAACTGAAAACAGAAGATAGTTGTCATCTTAGATTAGGCCTAGCATCTAATTTAGTTATCTTAGTATCACATAATCAAGAAAGTCTTGGTGTGGCGCTATATGATAAGTACTGGACCACAAGGTTGGTTTGAACAACAAGGTTGGTGATTCAAACTCAACAGCCGCTCCTCAGAAATCCTATATGAGTCTAAAAGGACTTGAAGGCACTTACCTAAAACAACAAGAAAGTCTTGCTGACACAGACTATTGTAAGCAATGGCAGTTTTTCAAACCACTTGCCTTATAATCTCTCACCTTCACCTGAACAGAGCAGGCAGAAGAGGCTTTGTTCAGAGTGTGCGCACTACAGATAAGCCAGGAGGCAAATTCATTCCTTTTTCCTTTAATTCCTCAAATATTTATTGAGCTTCCACAACATGACAGATAGCTTTTCACACATGAGGGATACAGCAGTGAGCAACACAAAGCCTCTGCCCTCCCAGAGATCACCTTCTGTAGGAGGAGCCAGACCCACCACAGTTACTGTGCAAGTAACTCCGTGTGGAGTCAGGGCAAGGAGGCTGACAATGAAACGAAGGGGACAGGGCACACCTGGGTGGGGAGTTTGCTAATGTATTGGTTACTGAGCTGTCTTGTGTTTAAATGTAGTATGATATTACATGTGATTATGCCACGTTGTTTTTAACAGATTAAAATAATTTTTTTAATTAAATTGGAATCAAGCATTTGTGGGTTCCCTGAAACGCCGGCTCCCTCACTTTGCAGAAGGAAATAAGGGCCCAAGGGGAACACTGTGGGCTTGCCCAGTGGGTTTGTAGGCAGAGCAGAGTCGAGGCCCCACGTGTCTTGTGCTACCTTACCCCACGGCTGCATCCTTTGACAAGTGGTAAAGGCTGAGGACAAGAGTTGGGAGAAATGTATACCTGCTGCGGCTGGTCAGGGGACGTCGTGAGCATGCAGCCATGAGGGAGAACAGCTTTCATGGTCAGCACAAAATGAAGGGCTGACCATCTCACCAACTATTCTGAATTCTCCTTGCTTCTAATTCTGAACATTCATAAAATGATTTCTGTTAAACAGGTGCTTGTTGCCCATTATGTGCTGGAATGTTAAGAGTTTTATTTGACAAGGAAAAACTGGATACTATTGCTAAGGTAAATCGCCTTATCAACCAGATATTGTTCAAACATCATTGCTGAACATCTCAGTAGTTTCACAGAGCAGAACACTCTGACCCCATTTACAGATAGAGAAGCAACAAGCCAAAGGCCTTAGTCAGTAGAACTCAGGTTTGGACCAGTCTACCTGACTCCTTCCCTCTGCACTCCGGCTGTGTGGTGACTTAGTCTCCACTTATCAGTCACCCAGAGAGTTTCCTAGAAAAGTCCCCCTGTGGGCACAGTAAGCACAGTTAGGGGCTGGAGGCAGAGCCAGGTAGCTAGAGACTAGTCGATAACCACAATGGTCTCAAGGTCACCTCCTGTCACACTAGTCTCCAGCCCTCCTAAGGGGAACTTGCAGAGCCTGTACCTTCCTGGGAGAGCTTTCTTCTCCAATCACTCTTGGGGAGACAGGACTCTAGGAATGTAGCCGTCAACATCTACCATTGCCTATGTCATTAGCCCCCTTATGATTAAAACCTATAGTTTTACAGGAAGGCTTTAATGATTCACCTGGGCCACCAGCTCAAAATAGTCACTTTCAAGAAAAATGTTTCCGGTGAGAGAAATTAACTTAGCTACAAAGCTCTGCAGTTCTAAAGATTTGGAATACAGCCTACCAGAGCTCCGTTGAGGTTCCCTGGTCAGTTGTCTCCTCAGCTGGCTTAGGCAGTAATAGAATTCATTTTTTCAGGTAATATAAATTTTTTTCTCTTTCTAGGTGACAAACAAAAAGCCAATAACAATTTTGGAAATACTTGAGAAAATCCGCATGCATGTGTCTGTCCCACAGTGTGATGTATTCGGATACTTCAGCATTGAATCTGAAATCGTGATCCTGATCATTCCAGTGGATCATTACCCGACAGCTCTGCAGGTGGGGTGCAGTACATGGTGGGAGTTTGGTGACTTCAGGATGGGGGTTCAGCACAAAGTAGAACTCAGGGAAGACTCAGGTGATGAGGAAGTGGAGGCATTTGAGAAGCTTGGCAGGGCAGGAGGGAGGAAAGCCAGGCAGTCTCAGGACAGTGTTACCCAGTGAGCACGTCTCTAGGTGGCTGAGACTTGGTGAACGTTTCACAACAGAATGTGATGGAGCGGGAGACGAGCTTAGGCCTCGAGTGTGCTGAGATGGAAGGAAGCTGAGAGGCTATTAAATCTAAGCTGCTTTGTTGTATAGATGAAGCAGCCAAGACCCAGAGGGAGGTGCCGGCAGAGGTCATGTAGACCAGAACTTCGAACCAGGGTAAAGCGGTTCCGTCATGGCTGACAAAGCAAAACCGGAGGAGCTCCCCCCACTTTTAAAAAATTTGGATGAACAGGAACTATCACTGGAACAAAACAAATTACAGTTTGAAGCCTTGGAATGGGTAACTCAGAAGACATGTAGTAAGCCCTTTCAGGAACCTGATGTGGGGGACTAGATTATTAACAAAACTGCAGAGAGCGACACATCAAACGCGACACGTTGGCGGCCATCTTTGGGCCTGTGCCACTGTTTCCAGTCTGTGGGCAGAGACGTGGTTTCAGTACAACATATACACTGCCCTAAGAGGGAGCAAGGTTTCTAGAAGGGCTGTGACTTGTAGGGTTTCCCATTCTGGTTAGCACTCAGTTGTTAAGTGTCAATTGAATTCAACCTGTACCACCCTATATAGGGTTTCTAAGAAGTGGTTGATGGGTTTGAACCACTGACTTTGCAGTTAGTAATGCAGTGCTTAACAGCAGCATCACATCAGGATTCCAGTTATCACTCTGTTGCTGTTACATGCTGGCAAGTCAATTCCGACCCATAGCCACCTTATGTAGGGTTTCCGAGGAGCAGCTGGTGAGCTTGAACTGCTAACCTTGTGGTACAAGCCGACTTTGCAGTCCAGCGCATTAACCTACAGCGCCTCACCCAAATTTAAATGTTTTGGTCTCTTCCTCGGCCATAATTGAACCGGGCTTGACTCCAGTTCTAAGCCCTGGAATAGATTCCCATCTCCTGAAGGCTCTGCTCCCACTACAGAGGAAAATCCCACTGAGCTGGGTTTACAGACCCCCATTTTTCTTCCTCACAATTTAGAGGTGTGTGGAACCTCATTTTCGCAGACCCCAGTTCACACATCAAAGCAGCGAGGGGCCCCAGTGGAGGGACGGGACAAGTGGTGCATCACCTGCCATCCATCATAAGCCTTATGACGTCTCATTGTGTTGTTCCTCATGCTTAAATAGCAGTTGACAGTGTATTTCCTACAACTTTGTTTTAACTAGGTAAAAATATTTTCTACATGTGGATAAGAAGTGAACAGGATTGTGGGAAAATGAAGCAGCCGGTTGATTAGGGCAATGGAATTAGGGATCATTTCTGACTTGATTTTCATTAAAGCTGCTATTTTTATAATAAATGAAGACTGTAATAACTGTTACTTGGCTAAGAGAAAAGGACAGCATATACTCTCCAAAGCCACCTTTTGGAGTTGATCTGACATAACCTTATCACAGGTTCTGTGGTCTTCTATTAAGAGTATCTCATTTTTCCCTCCCAGATTGAGGCCTGCAATAAAGAAGCGGAGAAGATTGAATCCCTCATCAACTCCGACAGTCCTACTCTGACATCCCACGTCCCTCTCTCTGCCCTCATCATTTCCCAGGTCCAAGTGTCCAGCCGCGTGCCATCGGCCAGCACCAGGACCAGACCTCTAAGCCACTCCTGCCTCTTCCTCTTCAGCCTGGGCCTTGCCTTGCACTTGCTGCGGACACAGAACTGACTTGCCCACAAAAGCTGCAATATGTTCCTTTGCCAAACTTTTCTACTTGTGAAAGACATCAGGACTGATGGTTTGTAGCTGAGAGTTGAGTAGTGGCCCACCCAGTAAAAGCACATGTCACCTCTATTCACCACACAGTATTTTTAAGTCTGCCAATATTAGTAGGGTTTATTTTTGTTTTTATAAACATTAATGTACATTCTTCCAAATCTAATATACCTTTATGGTGGATCACTGCCTTATGGTTTCCATTTTACTCATTAAAGTCCTCCACCCTAAAACAAATTTAATGTTACTGATAAATGATCATACCCTTTTTAGAAGGATAACTTGCTTTACTCTAAGTTTCACATCACAGAAATTCCATTTCAGTTTACTGAAGTGTTAAGGTGCCCCTAGTGTGTTTGTATTTGTTTACAGGTAATTGCCTCTGCTATTCAGCAAAGATCCTCTGCTATTTGAGTATAAAGTATCTTTGAAATGATCATGTAAATCACCCGTCAGATTCCAGAATGAATTTATAGAACCCACCTATCATGTTAATGCTATGCCAAAGCAAACTGACCAAAAGACAGTCACATAATTACATATGGTAAATGACCGTCTCTACTCTCACTGATGGGTGTCTGTGACATTTGTGAAAGGGAGAAGAAGTTACATTGCCTCAGAGCATCTTGATTCTACAAGTTTCATGTTAGCCAGGTATATACATATTCCTAGGTGTCCATCTGCGTTAGAGTTTCTAAACATCAGTCTTTAAACCCAATTGCTGCTAGTTATATATGGAGCCAAAAAAAAGTGAAATAATTAGTAGTTCATGTAAATAATACATGACGTTTCTATTTTATTATGAAGAAGGTGAATAGCCATATTTGTAAAATGACAATCATGTGTATTAACCAAGTCCTTTCCGTTCATGAAGACACATTTGCTTTTAATGATATGCACAATGTAGATAAGTGTTCTGACTTTTTGATATATAATTATAAAAAATTATGGTTTATAGATTTTTAAATGTCAATCTAAGTGTTAAAATGTTTGCATGTTGTCTAAAAAGTTGAATACTTTGAATGTGTTTCACAGTTTGAAATAAGCTATTCGATGTAATACTTCCTGTGTGTATGCACCTGGCCTTAGATTTTACATGAAGTATTTGTTTTCAGTATTATATTATGTACCTTCTGAAATATATAGGGATATGCTTATACCAAAATGTTGCTGAAAAGGCACTTAAAGCTTCCAAATATCTCAGTGCTGATGTAGCATGTTTGTTGCAATTTATTTTTCTGTATAAATGTCTTCAATGCAATATACTGGAAAACTGTTCTATTTTAATAAACATAATTTTATATGGTCATGCAAGGACATTTAAAACTGAAAGCACTGATGACTACGAAGGGAACTGTATCCTTCTCTCTGGAATCAGAAGTCTTGGAGTGTTCGTATCCCAAGCCAAGGGCCCTGGAGGAGTGGAGCAGGTAGAGCAGAGAAGTCAGACGAGAGCTAGCAAACCAGCAGTGGCAGCGGGTGAAGTTCCAATACCCAAGCACTAGGCCTTCAGAACAGAGGAGCCAACTAGACAGATCTATTCCCCACTGCCTTGGCCTGAGGTTCCCACTCCAGGGTAAATTCCAGGTCAGAGAGAACTTTAGAATATGGAGACACAGCTTAGTGATCAGAACCTGCAAAGGTCTGTCAATCAACTTCGGCTAAAACCAAGTGGATTCCTTGTGTGTGGGAGCAGAACTGTGTTCCTTAGGATTGTCAATGACTGAGTTTTTAGACGTAGATCCCCAGGCCTTTCGTGTGCCGTGTCTGTGAGTAGGCTCCAACCTCTAACCTTTCAGTTAGCAGCTGAGCACACTAATCATTTTTACCACCTGTTGTTGTTAAGTGCTGTTGAGTCAGTTCAAATCCATAGCGACCCTGTATAGGGTTTCCGAGGAGTGGCTGGTGAGTTTGAACCTCTAACCTTGCAGTTCAAACTGACTTTGCAGTCTAGCACATTAAGCCACAGCACCACACTTCCAATTTAACTTGTGTTAGCAGGAGACAGATGAGGCGTTCTGCTCCCATTAAAGATTTACAACCTCAGAAACTCTATACAAGGTCACTATGAGTCAGAACCAACTCAACAGCACAGAACAACAGGGATTCCCAAACTTAGGCTAAGTCTCCAAAATCTCAGGGGCTTGCAACAACAAAGGCTCACATCACATGTTCATTGTGGGTCAGCTGTGAGTCTTCTTGATGCCATCTTCACTCCAGGATCCAGTTGGGCAGCGGACTTGCTCTCAGAAACATTTCCAGCATCTGGCAAAAGGGTATAAGACATGAAGACATACGCTGACTCTTAGCTCTCTGCTCAAAAATGAAACTGTCACAGCCTACATTTCACTTACTGAAGCAAGTCACATGGCCACTGGAGTTTAACAGGATTGGGATGTGTAATCTTCCCTTGATGTTTTTGTGTGTGGGTTTGGAGGGACAGGGATAGGAACTTAGTGGGGTTGAGTAGGATGGGAACAATATGCATTTTGAACGATACTACAATGTATAGAATCCCTTTCTCATGAGTCTCAGACAACAGCTGGAACTGACTAGATTTTGTACTAGAAAAGTAACAGGCATTCTATGATCTGGGAAGGAGCTAGGAGATCATGAGAGGGGCTTGGGTCACGGGAAGGAGACTGTATCAAGAGAGAGAGAGATCTAAAGTTGACCCTGCTCTGGGAACATAATTGTTGAGAACTCTGAAGATGGTTATGGGAAAAACAGTCTAGATCAGGGAGATAATCTTGCTGACCACCACATGCACACCCAGCCTGCCTGTGAACATCGCCAATGGCTTCCCAGCATCAGAACAAGGTGGAGCCCCTGTGGATGACTCTAACATTCTTCCCAGGGCCAAGAGTGTTAGGTAGCAAGAGGCCTTGAATCTAGGTCCTATACTAGAAAACAGGCCATAGAGGAGAAAGACGGTGTGTTTGACCTCCTACAATTTTTCCAATTGCGAGTAACAGAGGGCTCCTGGTATGGCACTGTAGGATCAGCACTTGACTGCAAACCCCAAGGTCATCAGTTCAAACCCACCAGCTGCTCCTTAGAAACCCTATACAGTAGGGCTGTGAGTCAGAAATGACTCAGTGGTACTTATCAACAGTAGCAAAGGAGAAAGTTCAACAGCAGCAGAGAAACTCAGAAGAAAAGTCGCTTATAGAGAAAGATTCAGAGGCTTTTAGGGCCATGAGTAATGAAACTCAGATACTAGAAAGACAGATGAATGAGGCTCCCTTCCTAGTCCACAGAAAGTGGGTGGACAGAATGGGCAACAAGAGAATCATGAAGGCTGGACTGGGGCATGTCCTACCTCTGTGGCCCAGGAGGGAATCTAGGAGAGGTTCAGCCACACATAAGCCAGATGGAATGGATATCCACAGGAGAGAATACTGTGTCTAGAAGGCTTCTGCCACATATGTCCTTTCCAGAGTCTGCATCTCTCTGACAGGCCATTGGACCCCAAACCAAGCCAACTTGTGAGCACTCAGCAGTGCTTTACTCTCAGGCCAGGCACATCTCCTGAGGTGTGGGTATTCATCAGCCGTCAAATAAATGCATGTAACTCAGGCAGTGGGATGTTTTGTACGCTTAACCTATTGAAAAAATGAATTATCCAGAGTAAGTGACTAATAAGCTAATTACACTATGATATTTATATACATTTGTTGTTGTTAGGTGCTGTTGAGTCGATTCTGACCCCACAGCAACATACATTCATTTGTGAAACAAAATGAATATATGTTTTTAGTTTTGTGTGTATACATCAAATGCTTTTCCTTTGTTCATCTGTGAAATATGAGCTGTGAAAAGAAGTCACAGGGAAGAAGTAGAATAACTTGTTGCAAGGAGGGGATTGTAATCATTGAGATGAAACAAAGCATATAAAATGTAAAACTGATGATCTTATCTGTTAACCTTCACTCAGTTCACAATAAAAAGCTAAAAAATATAAAATATATATTTTTTGAATTTAAGAAAAGATGGAAGGAATACATAGAGTCACTGTACCAAAAAGAATTGGTTGATGTTCAATCATTTCAAAAGGTAGCATATAATCAATGACTAGTGGTTCCAGGAATTGATGGAACACAAACTGAAATGTATAAACAAACTGATGCAGCACTGGAGACACACATTCATCTATGCCAAGAAATTGGAAAACAGCTACCTGGCCAACTGACTGAAAGAGATCCATATTCCTTTCCAAACGAAGGAAAACCAATGGAATGTAGAAATCATCATAGGAAGATGATTAAAAAATCGTTTCAACAGTACATTGGCAGGTTGTTGTTAGGTGCCATTGAGTCAGTTCTGACTCATAGAGACCCTGTGCACAACAGAAAGGGAACAATGCCTGGTCCTGCACCATCCCCACAATCATTGTTATGCTTGAGCCCATTGTTAGGCAATGCCAATCATTCTCACTAGGGGGTCATCCTGTTGTTTGCTGACCATGCACTTTACCAAGCATGATGTCCTACTCCAATGACTGCTCAGTGTAAAGAAAGCAAAAATTCTCACCATTGGACCATCATGATAAATGGAGAAAAGATTGAAGTTGTCAAAGACTTCATTTTGCTTACAACCACTATCAACACTCAAGGACGCAGCAGTCAAGAAATCAAACAACATATTGCATTAGGCAAATCTGCTGCAAAAGTCCTCTTTAAATTGTTCAAGAGCAAAGATGTCACTTTGAGGACTAAAGTGGCCTGAGTATTTTCAATCACCTCATATACATGTGTAAGTTGAACAATGAATAAGAAAGACCACAGAAGAATTGATGCATTTGAGCTATGAGGTTGGAGAAGAATATTAAAAGCATCATGGGCTGCTAAAGAACAAACAAACCTGTGTTGGAAGACGTACAGACAGAACTCCATAGAAGTCAGGATGGCGAGACTTGTCAAGAAGGACCAGTCCCCTGAGAACACATTATGTTTGGTACAGTGGAGAGTCAGCAA